AGCCCCTGTTCACACAGTTCACATTGTCCAGGACTGGTTTTCTGAGCACGAGGATGAGTTGTCCCATCTCCCCTGGCCACCACAGTCACCAGACCTGAATATTATCGAACCTTTGGGGTTCTACATTGGAACGTTAAAGTGCGTTCTCGTTATCCACCGCCAACATCGTTATCTGAACTTGCCACCGTTTTGCAGGAAGAATGGTATAATATTCCCTTGGCAAACAGACAGGAACTGTATTTATCCATTCCGAGAAGACTGCAAGCTGTTTTGGATGCCAACGGGTTTCCTACACCATATTAAGCAAAGAAACATGTTTTGTTAAAGGTGTTTCCATATTTTTGTCCAACCCCTGTATGACAAATAGATATTTACACCAATTTAAATATTGTAAGAATAGCACAAGAACTGAATGGGGGGGGTAAGTTTAATAGATACCAGAAGCTGAGAATTTTCCCACAAATTGATGCATCTGTATCAACTTTATTGTGAATGTAACAGTTTGCAGAAAATTGAGCACATATCTATGGATTAATAAATTTGCATCAACTTTATTACATTTTACTGTTTTCTATGATTTTTACCAACACAAGAAAGTAAAATATAATAATGTTGATGGAAATTTACTAATTCACAGAAATGTGCTCAATTTTCTATGAATTATGGGAATTCTGTTGGAATATCTTTATTACTCAGATTCACATACACATCAACAAAAATACTTATTTTATCATATATATAATATTTTGAAAAATACTGTTGCAGTCAGGTACAAGTTACATCAAAAATACAGAGTGCAAGGTAAAATTCTACCTAAAAAATTACCCCACAAAAGGTCGATAAAAAATGATTAAAACACTTCAACTGATAAATGATCTTTAAAAGGTATACTGATAGGTAGATACGGTGGTTAATATGTTCTCTTTTGTTCAAAATTTCTTCCATCGAGGATAGTTTATATCCCCATATGTGCGCATATCTGTTAATAAACAACTAAAAATAATGTTTTATTCTTTTAAAGCCTTAAAAGTATATATAAGGATTTTAGCCAATATAAATTAATAGAATGATCATCATTCCATCAAAATAAGGTTATTTTATTTTGCAGCAATGCTTAAAATGTAGTGTGATGGAACATGAAAGGTAATTTCAATTACGTGTTCAGAATTTTTACAGTTTGGAGTTCCAACTAAGCCATTAAATATCAGAACAATTTTCAATTTAAACCTGCATCAAATATAAATTAATATGAACATACATCTGAAATTATATTACTCCCAATTATCAGTTCTTTAAAGATACATGCAGAAATAAACAGTTTGTCAATCCAACCTTTTTTAAGAGTCAGGGCAGAAAATTTCCCAAGAACTATTATAAAAGAATCAGCACAAGTAAAAAAGAAAAGAAAAGAAAAAAATTATTTAAGCTGTGCAATAAAATAAAAAAAAAAGTTATCAGTCAAAGGAACAAAGTGACACAAATTACATAAAGAAATACAAATAATAGTTTAAACTGATAATTATGTAATAACAATCGGTCTTTAAATGACAAGAAATATTCCATAACTATACTACACACAATAAAGGGGGAGAGAAAAGGAAAGTAGTAAAAAAGAATTTTAGATATGAGTAAGAAAAATTACAAGTGCAGGTTTTAATTTTTCAAATATGCTAATGACTAGCACAATGATTATTCCTTTATTTCTATATATACCTCCAAGAAATAAATATATACACAAAAACTCGGTCATGTATTTTATATTACTACATTGTGCGCATATATTACAGTAAAATCCTTATATCGGGATTATCAACTTTCTTCATAAACATTTAGTCCAAGAATTTTACATGCTAAAATGTTTTGCCTCTAAGGAAGCAACACAAAATAAATTATTTTACATATACAAATTTGAAGCAAACGTTTACACCACATAACCTGTTCCTGCATTCATTTGAAATTTGCAGAAATTTTATTTTAAAAAATGAGTTACAAGAACTACATAAAACTGCTGTTAAAAGTTTTAGTTAATAAAAATTATTTCCAGTAATCACATTTTAAAACAAAATCAATAAAAAGTTTTAAAAAATGATTTTCTCTCGGTAAAAAAGTTAAAATGAGACATTCTCCACAGCTGATTTAGAGAAAACTACATTCCAGCAGCCTGGCTATAATTTAAACTGCATTAATTTTATAAATAGGTATTTACTGATTGAGTATCACAATTAACTTAATTTTTATGATTATTTTTTAATTATATGGGAAAAATAATAAACACACTTTTTTAATTGTAGACAATTATGTAAGCAAATAAAAAATGAACACATGTTAAAAAATTATAATACTTCTCTAATACGAAACTTTGCTACCAATATTCTTATTTTCTAAATTTATTGTAGATACATACATACATATACATAAATATATTGCACATATGCATATATGTATTATGTACACATATATACTAGAAATACTCAAAATAGAAATATTTTATATTCCAACATTATAAATATATTCAGTTTTTACTCAAATTAACTTAGTCTTTACATTCTTCTCCAATGATGCAGCATCTGAATAAAGAATGGAAGTTATTAAATATTGCAGTGAAATTTGCAATTAAACTATTAGTTGATATTATATGTTCATATTATATTATTCATTCTTAATTATACCTTTACTTATCCAAAATTTTTAATTTATTATTTTAGTCAATACGATGTAAAAGAAGTAAACTGGCAATAAATTGCATGTGACAAAGGATATTCATATTAAACACATGTAAACTTATATATTCTTTCATTCATTTTATATAGCATATATGCAAAAGTGTTTAACAATCTATTTGATAACACTGTGTTTCATGCACAGAAATAGTTAATATCTTTTTATTTTGGTATTTATATAAAACACTGATTAAAAACTCCTTCTCATTTCAAGTTAAACTGAAGTAACAATTTGATGAATTTAAGGCTATAAAAGCCTCTCTCAAAAAAATTCAGATCTTCAATGAATTTTTCAGTGTAATAAAAAATCTAATACTTCAAAAAGTAATGCTTGAAAAAAATCTAATATCTTTAAATTCATCAATCCATTTCATGGAAATTACTTAATCCTTTCATACATCCACAAATTTAGAAACATTCATTTAAAATTCTGCTGTTGCACAATGTAATATACTGCAATGCTATTATGTATTAATTTTGTTTTATATTTAATTGAAAAAAAATGTTTAGAAGTTTTATATTTGACAAGTATTGTTTTAAATTTCTGGCATAAAAAAAAACCTTACATTAAGCTTATATTTATTCGATTTATTTAATAGATATTCATTAATGATGCGTTTTTAGACAAAATTAGCATAAAAATATAACAGTTCTAAACGCACAGCTGCCAACCTTGAAATCTAGAAAACCAGGAGGTTACTATGCTCTGTAGCGATGTCATTTAAAATGAGTTCCTGACTGACTTAAATTCACTTTATAATGCAAAACTTGATTCTTGCATTATAAACATGATTCTGATGTAAAATATATTAATATTTAATTAGATATTATGAATTTTATGTTCTGGCTGATTTTATTTTGCAATTTTCTTAAACTTTTATACTGTGAAAAATCCCGAATAGGGAAGAAAAACTTTTAAAACCCAATGATAATAATAATTAACACACCTAAATACTTATCTGTATAAACTTAGTGATGTACAATAAAATAAAAACAAAATTGATTAAACATTGGTTGAATCTTAGTATAAAAATCTACAAATGTCAGCAGTAGGTTGAGACAACGCAGATAAATGAAACTTAAAAAAAAAAAAAGGTCAATAAAATGCAATAAGGAAAAAAAGTACAGTTCAGATGAAATAAAATTTAAACAAGAAAAATTATTCTGCAAATCATTAGGGTTGGAAGAATAGAATCTGCATAATTTACATTTCATTCATTCAATAAATTTTATTTTCTGCTGGACGACATTTTCCTTAGTGAAGACCAACAATTAAAAAATGGAAATTCAGCAATCTACCGAGTAATGTGATGGAAAATCAGGAATCTCCTGGTAAAGCTGGCAGCCATGTATAGCAAATCATACTGAAAAGAATGCATTCTTCCATTTTAAAATTGCAAGTCAACTATGAACTGAAACAAAATACATATATGTACACTGGAAGCATTATTGAAAATTCAAAACTGAAATTAGAAATTTTTAAACAAATAACATCAACAGAAGACTGCCTAGAAGATCTAAATTAAATGTATTATTTACTATACCAAAAACACATTGGTGGTAACTATTTTTAACAGCAGAAAAAATTAATTAATTTGAGCATGTGCAAGCATCATTAATTAGAGATTAGAACATTTAAATAATATTTTATGTAAATATAAGGAAAGAAAAACTATACTTTGCAGTAAATTGGCATATATACCATACTCAAATTTAACAGTTACACTCAATATACAAAGTAAAGATATTTATTATAGCTCCTATTTCATTACAATGACTAATATAAAAAAATCTCCATTTGATCAGAGTGATGCATTTTCTTTATAGCAATCTCTTGCTACAATGGCTTTTTTTGAACATGAATGGTCATTATAACAAGCATCAACTGTATTTTTAAATACAATAAGCTTCAGAATAGTATCTATTAATTCTGCTCTTATAGATTAAAATTTGCATTCTATTACTCACTACATTTTAATTAATATATCATTATGATGAAGTCTAATACAATATTAAGTCAGACTTTGGTTTTTATATGAAAGAATACTTTGCTTTATTTTGGTTAATATTTTTAATGTTTCCAAGTTATAATTTCATTTCAGTAATTAATACTCCTTAATACAGTTAATGTAGCATGCAAACACTTAAAATTTTAATGGATTACGACTGGGAAACTTCAAAGTTTAAATTAACAAAAAATAGTGGAACACACAATATGAAAAAAGAGTACTATTTAAAATGAAATAAATTCGAACTAGAAATGAAACAAACACAACTATATAATCTCAAAACATTTATTGGATTAAAAAAATAATAATATCCTCCGATTCTGAATTGAAACGCCCTTAAGAAATTTCTTTTAATTTTTCAAAATTTAATTTTGATTAACAGCAGAATACATTAACATACAACTTCATTTTCAGATTTGTTTACAGTCTCGAAACAATTTCATACACAAGCTGCAATTTGATTATATAAAAATCACATTTATATGCAAACACAATCACTTATTAAGTAACAAACATATCCAAACTCTTTCATTTACATAAGAAATGTTTACCATAAAAGTAAATATGACTAAAAACACACATTTAATTTAAAACAATTCCTTGCAAGGCACTTGTACTTGCAAGAGATTCATTCAGTACTTATCACACACATTTCTAAAAATCTCCGTCATCACATAAGTTTAAAAATACGTCATATGATTCTCTATTACAACTTCCATCATTTGTGTACACATACTTATGAAAAGTTCCATCGTTACAAGCAGCTGAAAGTAGAATTAAAAATACAATTTACATACTGAATTTCTGACAAACTATTAAACAGTTAAACACATTTTTAACTTCAATTTAACACACATTTTTCAAAATTGCATTGCAGATTAATTTACAAAAATCACAAGAAAATAAAGTTAATATTTACCATAGATAGAAGAATTGGATCCAAAGGCACAGATACATTTGCTCTCTTGTGTAACAGCAAAAGTAGCAAAAGCCCACTGAGATTCAACATAGGGTCCAATCCATTTGGCTGCACTGGAAATTCTGCGTGCAGTTAGGAATAAAAACAATAGAAAAGACTAAATTCATCGTTAAATATCACATTTTTAGACATATAATATGAAAGCAAAAGTACACAAAAATAAATAAAGAAATAAACTTTCAGATTACAACACCTAAAGGGGCTTTTTTTAAACGTTTTGTGTGTTACCTTTATTTATTAACCCTTTGGCATGCGGTGTTCGCCCCCTGAAACCACCAATTTTCGAATTTTTTTCTCCTCTTCCTTCCAAAATTATTGAGTGAAAATCATATGATTACTGATCTTTTATCTCTAAATAACACAAAATGACTGCAGAATCATACATGTTTTAGGTCTTAGTAGTACTTCATATCGGATGTCTTTTAAAATTCGTTTTCAATGAGACAAAATAACTTCCTTTTATTGATATAAACAACTTTAAATTTTAAAAGTTATTCATCACACATCATGATTTGTATCATAAACAATAAAAAATAGCAATAATTAAACTGCATATAAAAAAAACCATCTATATGTATGGCATTTGCTCTGCGGTTTCAGGGCGCGACCACTGCACCACTAGAGCACTGTGACACAATGCTCTAGAGGCTTGGTGGTCGCGCTTACTGCTCTTCACAATGGCGTTTGCTTGATTCTCAAATAGGAATGTTTATTTTTACCCAGATATAGATAAGGGGTTTTGAAACCACAGAGTTTTTTTATTACTAAACAATACATGCACCCACCCAGTAAAAAGGTCTTCTTTTCAGGGACTTTTCTTGACCTCAACACACTTGCTCCCAAGCTAGAACTATGATTTTATAAATTATTTCCTGTGGTTTAAATTTGACGTAAATATACCTTGCTATAATTAAAAATAGAAATCACGTAAAGTTTTATTTAAATTTAAAAAACATTTTCTGAATATTTTGTGACGAAATATTAATAAAATAAGTATGAATGGGAAACGAATGATCCATACCACAGCCAAAAAAACCAAGCCCCCCCCCCATTAACATAAAAAACCCACAAATTTTATGTGCCAGATGAAAGAAACTAAATAAACTTGGACATATACCAGTGAAATTAGATCTAAGACACGGAAGAACTCATAAAAGAAGATACATGTGCGAAAACGTGCAATGCGGGGGTCTATGCATGTACCAAAATGACAAAACATGCTTTGAACAGTGTCACAATATTTGTTCTTTAAAATTTTAAAAAAAAAAAAAAAAAAATTCTTTATTTTTCTGAGTTTTTTAATCTATTTAGCCAAACGTCTTTATTATGTAGGTACTTAAATTTTCACTGCTATAGAAAAATTACATAAATGTTTATTTTTTTAATTTTTTCTGACGATTTACTTTGTAAAAATAATGTAAAAAAATTATATATTATGCATTTTCTACATACATTTTTTAAAAATTCGTTAATTTCGTCATTTATTGGAAACGCGCATGGAGATAGGTATGTTTTCCCCCCTACTATCTAGGTAAGTTTCAAAGTCCTGTAGTTTCACAGTGCGACCACCACCCACAGAACAATGGGCAAGAGTAGATTTTTTTAAATTCATATATTATTTGTCTCTAGGATAATAATATTCAATTTCTACAGTTTTTAGTTAAAAAAATTATAAAAATAATATTGCGTGCATCAAAGGGTTAAACATCATGTTCTTCGCACTTAACTCTTTGAAATCCAGGCCTTTCGCTAAACTGTATCCTCAAAATAATGAACCGCCCGAAATACTTTTCCAGTTTCACAGCAATTTCCTCCCCTCCCTGTCCATTAATGCAGAAAATGGGTGTGAAGGTTTCGAATGACATCCTTTGTACTTTCTAACAAAGATTCCATTAGCCTTTGACCCCGTTCTTTATAAAACTATTCTGAAGGTCAGACCAACAAGCTTTTCTGGCTTTGTTATGATCAAAACTTGGATTTTGTTTATTTCCGTTATTTTTATAGGAAGGAATAAAGTGATTAAATCAAAAGATAATCCTTAAATTTTAAACTGCAATTTTATTGCTGTTTAAAGCTTAAAAGTGCACTGTACCACAAAAGAATCAACAATGAAATGTCACGAGCAAGCAAATGATAAGAAACCTCTTAGGACAAGCTGTCTGCAGTAAGCTGACACAATACATTTGGGGAAACAGCACCTACTACTGCATACCTTAGGAGGAGGGAAGAAAACAAGATTACAATGTCGGTCCTTTTCGGGCGATTCTGGTTGTTTCAATGTACGGCCGTGTTGGGTGGATTGGTTACAAAAGAGTTAAACCATAAAGTTGAATTCAACAGCTATATCACAAAATATTTTAAAAACAGAATATCTTTAGGATTTCCGATACACAGTCTCGCGAACTGGAGATAAAAATATTTTTTCCACCATACAGTGTTGCCATGGCTCGCTTTTAAATTGTCGAGTTTGTTAATAAAAAATTTGTTAAAGATGTTACAAAATATGAAATTGATAATAAAACAAATTCCACATTCTGACTTTGGGCTCTCAGATGCCCGTATATATACGTACATTTCCACCCAAATTTGGGCTTCCAGATGCCCATATTCGGGTGGATTCCCATTCAAAATTGGATGGCTCTAGGTATCATTTTTTTATCACAATGCAAGAAACCTACATTTATGCAGATTCATCATTTAATTTTTTTAAATATAAAACAGGGCTCTAATATTTGGTGGCAAAAATTTGAAAAGTGAAGTTTTCAACACAAAATGCCAAAGTGAAATTAATAGCCCTTCTGGGCTAATGATAAAACTTCTTTTAAGTTATTGCTGCTGACAGGAGTTTTTTCCAATAAAAACAAATCTAACATTGTTTCCAATGATTTTAATGCTAATTTTAATGTTCACTTCTATATTTTCACAAGTGGATGATTTATAATTTTTATTCTTCTGTACTCAAAAATAAGAGCCAAATTGCAAACTTGCCAACATACGACAGTCAAGAATCGGGAGAAGTTTTCCAACCACAAAGAGATTTTTTAAATGATAAAAATATTCTTTATATCTTATACAGAAAGAAAAAAATATTTTTATTAATGAATTAATTTACATAGTAACTAATTAATATCCTAATTAATTAATTAATTAATTAATTATATTAACTAATAATAATATTAATATTAATAATGTGTAGTTACTAAAATGCAAATAGTACAATAATACTAAACATGTAAAAAAAAAGGTTTTATCATTAGTATCTTTTAATAGGGGAAAAAAATATTTTCATCAGTTTTTGTACAAATGCTAAGAATAGTGACAGGTTTTGCTTTTATTAAGGGGGGGGGGGGAAACTGTCATTTTGTTCACAGTATATGCCATGTATGCCTGCTATTGCTAATAAAATTTTTTCTAATGTGTCATTACTATTATTGGATTCAGTCCTTGTTCTATTAACAACATTGAAAATCCTCTTGCACTCTGTATTACTATGGGAAATTGTCAGGATGGCCAACATTATTATTCCAGACAGTTCACTGTACTATAAAATTCAATCAGCACTTTTCAGTTTTCCAATTAAACTCTACTGGCTGTCAAATCTTGCTGGTTTTATAACTTTATCCAAATTGTCTAATTGTAAACTAAGACTGTGACTGACATTTATCAGTTTTAACATCAATATCACTGTCTTTCAAGACTAAATGAAGTAAAACTGGAAATCTTTATAAAATATCTTATATCAGAAAAAAGCATTTACTAAAGAAGAAATATCTGCAACTTCAGCATGTAGAATCATTTCATTGTTGATTGGAAATCAGTTCATCTCATGACAATAGCAAAAAATATGCAATTATAACACATGAATAATAACAGGAATTCCATCTAATAAATATACATAACCTCGGGTACTAAAAAAGACTCTTGAAACAGTCTTTCTATAAAAATATCTTTATACCTGACTTTTAAGAATGTGCCAGCCCTTTACAGATGGAACTGACAGGAATTCAGTGTGACTGAACTTTAAAGCAAAAATTTGGGCATCCCCAAATTTTTATAATGTGTAATTTTCAAATTTGATAGTACATATCAATGTGAACAACTTTTCTTATTTAAGAAAAGAAACTAATTCCCAAAGGAGATCCAGGTTAACAGACATTTATAAGTCTTTATGATAAACAGAATATAGCACTAACCACAACAAATTAATGTAAATAAATTTTTCATAAAAAACATTGCTGTTGAAAAAAGAAAAGAAAGGAGGATTTAAAAAAAAGAAAGAAAGAAAAAAAGAAAGAAAACACTTACGCCAGTCTTTTATTAAGGTGAGAATTTTTTAGAGCGAAAATATGAATAGTTCCTTTATCACTAGATGCACAAAGGAGTTCAGAATCACAACTAAAATTTATGCTGAAATGATAAAAACATTGATTACAATATAATTAAATAAATAACATTGTGATACACATAAACAGGTATAATAAATGAGACATTTTAATATCATCAGTTTTAAAAAAGGTACTGTAACTGCTTCTATTCCTCAATTAACACTGAGCTCAAAATATGTGGTTAACTAAAAAGAAAAGGGGGTAAAATACCGTACACTTCTGATTAACTGTGACTACTGAATCCATGACTTTCTGCAATCTACAACACTTTTTGATTGTAAGCAAACACTGTTTTGATTTTCAAATATTCAGTAAATACCAAATTTATTGAAAATATTTTCTTATATGTATATGCCAATAAAATTTTTAACAAATATACAGTATACTTCTTGACTGAGGAGGTGAATTAATTTCATTTCTGAAATTATTCAGCATTTTTGCATGCACATTAGAGGTCTCATTTTACAGTACACATACAACGTAAATCTCGGCAATTTTTTTGATTTTGATACATATTCTGCTGTTAATTTTGAATTTACATGTAAAGAATTTATATAAACCTTTCAGAAGTTGAGTTCCAACTTAACTGCACCTCACAGTTAATTTATTTACATTCTGCACAAGCAAGCTTGTATATATGCTGTTAATTAGTAATAATAAAAATATGTTTAATTGAAAAGGTGAAGTAAATTAAATTAGTAAGCTCAAAACAAATTAACTCAAAATTTTCAAAGGAACTTTTTTTAAATTTCTCATTATTCAGAATTAAGTACAAGACTAGAAGTATATATCCCTTGATGGGTTACGCCAGTTAAAATCTGTTCTGTATTAAAAATATCTCTGAAGTGAAATCACAAAAGGTACATCTCAGATTTCAATTAGTTGTATATATACACTCGAGTGCCACTGAATTAGGGACAGCCATGGTTATGCAAAATGTGTAGTGCTGTGCCACATTTATGCTCACACGAGGGCGTTGTGGTAACTGCATATATAGGTAGTACTGTGGATATTGTTAATCAGTCATTTCAATTGCCAGTATGGATAAAATTTCTGATTTAGATGCCTTTGATCACAGACAGACAGGCACTGAACACATGGGCCATTCAGTTTCCATATTCGTCAGACAGCTAGGATTTTCAAGGTCCACAGAGTGAAGAGATAGCATACCAAGAATACATGGACGGTGGGGAGAAAATTAGCAACTGAGCAAACTGTAAAGGACAATTAAATTAGCCTTGAATGAGCTAGTGTGAGACAGCTCAGCAATATCTATGTATGTAGCCAGCAAAGCCAAATGTTAGCTCAAATTACCACCCAGCTGATTCAGGACACCAGTTGTACAGTCAGTAAACAGACCGTGCAATGCTCATTTCACCGTATGGGCTTCGGAAGCTGTAGACCCACGAGCGTACCACTGCTCAATGCATGCCATGCTTCGGCAAGAAAACACAGAGAATGAAGTCTAAAGGACTGAAAACACGTAGCATGAAGTGGCGAGTCTCGATTCCAACTACTTAACACCGGTGGGAGGCTGCGAATATGTCAGGCTCATGAAGTTATGGATCCTGCATACAGCTTAGAACTGTACAAGGCCATAATGGTTCAATCATGGTCTGGTTCCAAGTGTCTCTCTAAGCTGCAACTACTGTGTACTTTCCCACACCGTATACCAGCTGTCGTGATTTTGGTGCCTAGACTGATGCTTAAAGTAATGGTATGCATGATTATGGATGCAGAAGACAGCGTTGAACGTGGGGGGTGACAAGTTGTCACGTGAACAGCAAAGACATCGGATTGGTCGAGATGCATCCAGGCAGAAACTATGCACATAATGTTAAAGTAAGTGGGAAATTTTACATCAGTGCACAACCTTGAGGTTGCAGGTCACATGATGTGGTAACCCACCAATTCACTGACTAGGAGTGCTGCATAAGATAAGGATAATACAGACAGCCTTTTAAGATAAAATTTGCATAGCTGCATTTGAGTATTTAGGAAAACACGCTAGGTAGGAAAACACACAAGTTTGGGTTCATAGTCTTGAGTGTTTTGTCTTGGTAATGTTCAGCATCTTCGATATTTATACCAACCTCCCTCAATGTGATTAGTTGCATACAGTTGCTATGCAATCACCTCCATCCATTTATGTGGTCCTGTCATTCACATGGAAATAGAGGTATTCAAGGAAAATAGCTGCACTATCCAGCTGGGATCTGTGACCAAGCAAGATCACAGATCCCAGCTGGTTACCAATTGGCTGGATGAGCATTTCTCTGACTTGTCTGTCTTGAATTGGCCACCTAGAAGCCTTGACTTAAATCCTATTGAGCAACTTTGGAATGTTTTGGAGAAACATGTGAAAGCACATCACACAATGTGGCAGCCATTATAAAGGCTAGAGGAGACCCAACTCATTATTGACTTGCTATCCCTAATTCAGTGGTACTTCAGTGTTCCCCTGATATATATATATTGATATATATATATATATATATATATATATATATATATCAGGGGCGGCCATAATGTGGCTCTCACAAATAAAATATATATACGAAATAAGGTAAACTAAACCTACTCAGTTGTAGAAGAAAGTTAGTAATTTATTTCATGTCTTTTTTTTAAGTTATTAGAAACCTCTAAATTGGGGTAGTCGGAAAGCAAAACAGAAAATGCTTGAAATGCACATTAAACATCATACAGAATTAATACAGGTTAAAAACATTTTAGAAGTTGATTTAACATCCAAACCAATGAAAAACCTTTGGGAATTTCTTATAAATCTGATGACAGTCACAATTGAGAAAATAATGCTACCTTCAGAAAATTTCATGAATTTTCAGAACAAGAGATGTATGGCTTTCTTGCATTGGAACGAGCATGCAGGGGAATTACAGGATAGTTTTAAGGTAAAAAAAAAAAATTGAGTCACCCTAGTGCATATTGAAGAAGCATCAGAAATTTCATGATTATTAAGCTGTGATAGATCGACATTTATAATAAGGTATCACAGAACAATCAGAGTACTTAAAAACTGAGAAATGGTACCTTTTATGACACCAAATTGAAGTATATCTCAAGTTGAATTTGTCTTTTAATGCAGAATGGTGCACAATTTTTGTCATCCAAGATGATGAAAGAAAAATCATAAAGTGTGTCTCATTTGATTACTGAGATAATTTTTTTTTTTTTTTTATTTTATTTATTTACAGACGCATTCCATTTTCTTCAAATTATTTATATAAAAAATAAGAACAGTAATATTATTATTGAAAATTTTATGAGCAAAACCCAGGGCTTTTTTTTTTTTAATGAAAAAAAGCTTGACTACCTAATACAAAATAGCTCTATACCAATTAATTAAAATATAAATGGAGTTCTACCATTATTTTAAACACAGGCGGGCCTTTAATTACTATACAAATATTTGCTAATAGTGTTCTTTTATTTATTGCAATAAAACATACAATTTGGAAAATAGTCCTTGTTAAAGTTCTTACTAATTACTTTTATTACATTAATAAACAAATTTTCAGACTGTTTAAAAGAATGCATGAAGTAACACCATAAAGAACAGCGTATTTCATATTGAAGCACAAAGCAAGTTAAAGCAGTTTTTTGATCATTTGATATATCATCAAATTCCGAACAAAAAACTTTGGGTAATTTGATGAGAAAGAGATTATTGTCATGTCCCAACCACTTTTATTTGCCAGATTTCTTACCTCCTAGCACTGTTGTCCCGTTTTGATTAACAGGACGAAGAAGATTCAGTGATGTGAATGTGTCCAGGACAATTCAAACTAACTAAAATGCTGCAACAACTAATCCATAGAGATACCAAATGAAGCAATGCTGCACTGCTTCCATTAATGAAAGCAATTATCTGTGCTTTCCAGTGGATATTTCTCAGAAAATGTATAAGTAATAACTTTTCGCCTTTCAAATAAAACTGGTCAACAAACATTTTCTTGTGAATACACAAATATTACCTGCCAGAAATCACTTATGGAAATAAATATTTAAAAGATCAGGACGGATTCAGAAGCAGCTACATATTGCTAAACTTAGTACCACGGAATGAGTAAATCCCTCTCACCACCAACAACAAAATGAATAGGATTTACTATATAGACAACAAAGAAAAGAGAAGAAAAGACAAATCACACTGCCCCTTGGCAATATGTTTTGAATAAAAATGATCACAACTTAAAATCTTGTGAAACTGCTATAGAGTGTAGCAAATTGTCTCCTGTGATATAGAAGCTTAAGAAAATCAATGACTTCTTTATCTATTAAAATTCTAGACCTTTAATGCTATTTGATTAGGGGTTGCAACCCAGTTAATATACATTAAGGTTCCAATACGCCACTGAAGCACCGGAGGTTGTAAAGAATAAGTTTTACATTTTTGTGTTGTATCTTGTGACCATGGTAAGAATTAATGAAAGGCAATAACTTGATTTAACATGCAGTGATAACTTTTAAGGGTCAGCAATTAGCTACAAATAATAAAATTAGACAGTTAGATATCCTTAATCATTTTGGCAATTACATTTTACTTTAAAAAAATATTTTCTAAAAAAAGCACTATAAAAATAACAATCTAATAACATTTCACAGTTAAAACATATACAGTACAAATCCATAATCTGGACCTCAAAGCCACAAACTTTTTTTTGTATGCTTTACGCATGCGCATAATGCATTTACACATGCGTGTTTAATGTATAACAGACGGTATAAGCTACGCTAAAATTATCTTTACTGATTCTAAGGCATGTTGCAGATTGCACTGTTCTTTAACCTTCTAATTGGATCCGGCTTATTATTTTTTGCAGATTGTTAGAGCAATTTTATAAAAATTAAGCTTGAACTTTCGATTATGTCAAAAAGAGTTTCCGATTCTAGAGCTACCAAAGGATCTACAAAGCGAAAGCATGTTTCGGTGTCCATTAAACAAAAAGTGGAATTGCTGCAAAAAATGAATAAAGGCATATTCGTCTCAAAATTACGTCAGGAGTATGAAATTGGAAAGTTAACTGTACATGACATAAGCAAAAAGAAAAAGGAACATTTTGAATTTTTTGTGGATTCCGACACCCCACTTACAATGAATAACAGAAAAAGGGTTCGTTATGATAAAAGTGATCATCATGACAAAGTGATGATTGAATGGGTCAGACAGCATCGCAGCGAGGGCGTGCCATTGACGGGTCCAAATGGCTCAAGCCAGAATATTTCATGAAGAAATGAACTTAAACACTGAGTGCACATATTCGACAGGTTGGTTAACCAAATTAAAAAATCGCCATGGTATAAGACAAAAGGTGAAAAAGCTTCAGCTGATACTGAAGCTGCTGAACAATTTGCAGATGAATTCATTGAACTCATTACTAGTGAACAATTATCTCCAGAACACATTTACAATGCTGATGAAACTGGTCTTTTCTGGCAATATGTACCGCAAAATACCTTGGCAACCTCTACAGAAAAGGCTCCAACTGGTGTCAAAGATTCCAAAGTGAGACTAACAATTTTAGCGTGCACAAATGCTGCAGGAACGCACAAGTGTAAACATTTCGTAATCGGAAAACATGCACGACCTTGAGCATTTAAAAGAGTAACGATTTTCCCCATTATATATTGCACAAATAAAAGAGCATGGATGACACAAGCGTTGATGAATGATTGGTTTGAAAATTATTTTATACCCGAGGCTCGGCGACATTTGAATTCGGTTGGTTTACCTGATGACTCAAAATTAGTCCTGATTGTTGACAACTGTTCGGCACATACTTCACTTAAAAGTTTTAGTGAAAGATAATGTATATATGTATTACTCTTCCCTCCAAATTTTACGTCTATCATTCAGCGTATGGATATGGGAATAGTGCATGCGCTGAAATGCAAATATAAAGTACCATTTTTAAAATCTATGTTAAATTTTTTTAACAATGGCAAGACTATTAAGACTTTTCGAAATGTTTTAGCATAAAATCTGCTGTGTGGAGCATCGCATGATCTTGGGAGGATGCGTCTCCAGATATGTTAAAAAATGCTTGGCATAATTTATAGCCAGCCACCATATTTCATGGTGAGAATGAAGATGATAGCCACGAATTTGAAGGTTTTCGGACATCGCAAACTAAAGGTAAAATTTTCCAGTTATTGGATTTTGTAAAGAAATGTGGAGAAGCAGTAATAAATGAAGAAGATATAACAGAAGTTTTTCATTGCGACGACAATGCCCCAATCATCAATCAATTAACGGACGGCAAAATCTGTAGTAAGGTTCTAGATCTAGAAAATACCACTTCCGATAATGAAGGAAGTGACGGAGAGGTTATTGAAAACGAAAAAATTTTGATTGACAAGTTAGTCGGTATTCTCGACACAGCAATTACAGGACTTGAACTGTGGAGCTTTGTAACTTAACAAGAAATTATGTCTGCTTATAGAATTAAAGAGAAAGTATAAGTGCAAAAAATGTGCATTGAAAGATATGTTTAATAAAGTAAACAAATAATTAAGCTTTTTTTTTTTTTTTTTTTTTTTTTTTTTTTTTGTGTGTGTGTGTGTGTGTGTGTGTAAATTTTGATACCCTTTAGATCATAATTCCTCTTTATTTCATAAATTATGGTTTGATATTTTTAATTGTATAATTTCTGCATGCCATATTACCAGATTTAAATTGATGATCTATAATCCAGAAAAATCCCTAATCCGGAATCGCTGAAGTCCCGACGAGTACGGATTATGGACTTTGTACTGTATTATGCTACATAATTAAATTTATTTACTGTACTTTCGTGTATATGACACGCACCCAATTCTTCATGAAGAAATCTAAAATATACGTGTGCAATTCTCTTATCTCTTGAGGTCACTTATTCGGACATTTGTCCTAGCCTTTCAAACAATACTAAACTGCACTGACAAGCGAATAAGGGGAACAATATGTGTGTGGATCAAATGCTTGAGAGCGTAAATATTGAGAGCGGCAAAGAGGGAGGATTGTATTCAATGAAGCTGTTCAAAAGAGTGCTACTGTAGAGCACTTATAACCTGAATGAATTTGTGTAATTAAGAGTTAGATGTTTTCTCTATCTGTAGTCATTTGAAGGCGTGATTTCAAAGTAAAAATTGAAGGCTTCGGTAAATCGCATTTGCTTCAATTGAAATGCAGTTGATCAAGTACTCCTTTTAATAGTAAGTATGGATCTTGCGAAAAGAAACAAACAGTGTTGTTTTCAAATGCAAAGCCATTAATTTTGCAGAAGAAAATGGAAATCATGCTACAGTAAAGATGTTTGGTGTTAGAACAAGATGGAACAGATCATTTATGGATCAAAATAACAATGATGATGAAGACGAAACAAAATTCGATGATACGCCTGGAAGATATAACGGAAGACGAGCACGATGAATGCTTCATACTATCTGATAATGAAAATGTTCAATTTCATAAGGAATGTCATTTCTTTTAAATAAGAAGCACTTTGGTGCATGTAAAAATCCAATTTTTTTTCTTTATTTTTAAGCTATCATTTTTATATTCGGCCTATAATGCATACCCGTATATTTCGCTCCTATTTTTTGTATTAAAAGTGCACGTTGTACGCCGAAATACATGGTAAATAAATTATTTAATTATTATATTAAAGGAAATATTTCCATTTAATAAAAAATACATAAATTCAAAAATAATGAATACCCATTTCATCACTTACCAATACAAAGATGCTGGATCAGAACCTCGGCGCAATTCAATTAACTTAACCTTCTTATTAGTGTCAAATACTCTAATTAACGTCCCCTGAAATATTTTTGATAATTTTCTAAGCAATAAAACATAACACATGACAAAGAGAAATTATTTTTAAAGTTTAAAAGCAATACCTTTATAGATGCCGTGGCTATTAATGTACCTTGGTGATTTATTGCTATACATGCAACATCTGTAGTATGAGCGTTTATAGTTATCGGAGCACCAGTGCTCCCAGGGTGGATTTTGGCTAAATCCTACGTTAAAAAAGAAAATGGATAATTATTAACACAATTAAAGACAGTTCAAGACGAACAGAAAGAAACAGAATATTTGCAACAACTTACAACTATCTGTACACTGCCAGAATAATGACCTGGAAATACAAGAAGCTGCCTTTCAGAACTTGGAAAAGGGCTTACTTCACAAAGTCCTAATTGACAAAAAGAGTTAAAATGAAAATCTTTTTTATTTCCAGTACAAAATTATGTTCAAGGTTAAAACTTTTGATAAATAAATGACTAAAAAGTTAAATCATTTTTGGCCATATACATAGCAGATATAAATCAATTACTCAATCTCTGATGATTTTCATGACAGAATTTTTAATTTAAATTAGTGAAAATCAACTGTTGGTCACATTACAGGCTAACAAAATTCATTATTAGGCACAAACATGTTGCATCTCATATTATTATAACCCAGATGATCCAGAATCCATAACTGTTTTTGTTACTACTGACCATGAATCCCGATGCATCTTTTTAGTCCAAAGGGGCAATTTGCCCAGGAGGACTATTAATTTCATTTTGGCATATTGCATTGATTCACTTTCTGCGTTGTTTCACTTTTCAAATTGTTGCCACCAAATATTATTTCCCTGTATTATATTTTAAAAAATTGAATAATGAAGAATCTGCATGAATGCATCTATGTTTCTTGCACTGTGATAAAACAATGCTACCTAGAGTGATCCAATTTTGAATAAGGTAACCCTTCATTGAATATGGGCATCTGGAAACCCTAATTTGGAATCTGTTTTCATTAAAGAATTTTTGATCAACAACTCAAGAATTTTAAAGCGAGCAATGGCAACGTTGTACAGAACCTAAGTAGCACAGCAACGTCGTAACGATGTTGCAAACTAGTCGCGGATGTCGTTGCAAAAACATTGCAATATGTCGTCTTTAAGACGCCCAGATGTCCGCGAACATCCACTGTTTCGCAAACTTTTCAAAGACATCTTTGCAGATGAGGTTTTTGTCACATAGACGTCGTTATTGTGTCTTTAGCAGGTGATATTTTGGTTGTCAACCCCTTCGCGACATGTAGCCCAAACGCTCGCTTATTGCGGAGGCCTGCAGTGCCTTTTGCGAGCGTCTGTCCAAGGCCGGGGTTTTTTTGCTATTAAACCTAAATCCATGAAATTTCCGAAGTATCAACGCATTGTTTAATAATGCTCTATAGAGTATTCAAACGGCTTATGCTTTATAGATATTTTTATATATACCGTAATTTCGCACGTATAGTCCGCACACAAGATTTTATATAAAAAAAATTTCAAAAATCGTCAGATAGTCTGCACCACCGGATAGTCCGCGGACTATACGTCCGAAATTACGTTTTTTTAATACGGCTATATTCCCATGCTTTTTAAACACATCCTTTGTTTGCGCCAATTTCTCACCGCTTTCTTGTCCACTTCAAAATAACGGGGTAAAATCCTAGTATACGGTGCAGCCTTGGCGCGACTTTGAAAATTATCGCCAACACCAAAAATGATCCAAAGAACGTCTATATATATATACTATACACACATAGTATATGTACATACACACATAGTATATACTATGTTTAACTATATATTTTCTTTGAATGACCCGTTAAATAGTCACCAAATCCCGTGTGCACTGAATACTAGGATTAAACCAATAACGGCGCGCTTCTCTATTTCCATCTTTTTCCCGTTTAAACTCAGCGATGCAATGTTTCATCAACGTTATCGAAGATGAAAGACAAAATACGAAAACAAAAACTGTTCAACGTGCTATACTCGTGATAAGTGGTAATGAAATGTGACCTTCGACCCCACTCACTCGGTGTTGCCAAACCACGCTATAAGTAAACGAATCACTTTTTTTTTTTTGGTACTCCAGGTACTTGCTACTATGGCTCCTAAAAACCGAGCTGACGCATCAATTACTTTTCCCCCTCCCGGCAGTTGCGCTAAAGCAGTGCGAAGGATACTGGGATACAAGACTTTGGTTGCGCTAAGTGAGTGCTCATACAAGACTTTCTTTGGCTCATATCCCGGCATTGCTTGATGCGCCAGCCTGGATTTTAGGAGCTCTACTTGCTACTACTCATTCGTTCTGCACTATGCTCTATGGTTTACTATCGATACGATACATACGAATGTTTTCTTGGAATCTCCCACTTTTTTTATATTCGATCATCGGCAGTTCACGACAGCGTGTTTTTTAAATTTCAACGATTTTAACCGTGAACAACCAGCGTATTATCCGCACTGGTGGATAGTCCGCAGCTTCAAAAATTCGCATTTTAAACACAGATAGTCCGCGGACTATACACGCGAAATTACGGTACTTTAATTACCTTATTTTTTGTTTAAATGCATATTTTTACACATTTTATTTTCATTACTCACCATTTTATGACTTTTAACATTATACATCTGAAAACTAAATATATTACTTAAAATTCTCTTTTCGTATGAAAAATTTGAAAACAGGGATCTACACACAGTCCTACGTTACATTCCTTGCACTCGTAATAACTCATTTTACGTTTTGGAGGATTTTTCCCGGAACGTGAACAAACGAAGCATCGTAGTCTCATTTTCTTATCAGTCTCTTCTCAACAAAGTTTTCGAAAATGTCTTTCAGTTAATCTTTCAGAATCAATATCAGAATATCAGAATCAATATCTGAAATATTTTGCATCATTTCTGCTATTTCATGCTCTGTTAAACATTTTCGATGCTTCAACATTGCAACGGTAAAAACAGAAAGCATTCACATCTAACAAGATCTAATTATTTTCTAAAAACTGAACTGCGAACCGAAATACCCAACGCTTTAGCGAAAATAAACTTCTCTACTTACAATAAACAACTACCACATGTGAATTTAAAGAGATGTCATAAATCACGCCATTCGGAAACATTTATTTCCCCTTTTGTTTATATAATCAAAAACACGTGTATGTGAGTCATGCTTCTCTCATTTCGAGTAGATGGTCTAATGTACACGTATCTGAAACCATATGGACATACAGTGCCATCTTGTGGCAGAAATTATAGTTTTTAAAACGTTCCAGGACACTGGCACAAATAGGTGACAGTCGGGGCTGAACGGGAAAACACTCTGGCACGCCTACGTGTCGGCCGTGAAGTGAGTGTGTTCATTGCTGGCACGTAGACATGACAGTCGGTGCGAAGGGGTTAAAGCATTGTATCACGACGTCTTAAAGACACCTAAATGTTCGCCAAATTCCACATTTTGCAATAGTTGTGAAAATGTCGTTATTATGTCCTTGTGTTACACATTTATTTATGCAGAAAAATAAGCTTAATAATTAATTTTTTTTTTTTTTTTTAAATTTTGTATTCCTTGTATTTATCTAAAGTTTAAATATTTTATCATTTCCTGAAAACCAGAAGATAATACAATTTTTTCTCTTTAGCCTAAATATGCATAATTAATAATAGCCTTAATTATTTTCAGTACTTAAAACTATATTTTTTAAATAAATTCTAAGTTATGATTATTTAAGATTTCATCGTTTTTTTTCCCTTAAGTGAGAGTAATTATGAAAGTTGTTATTATAAATATATAACATTAATAGTAGGTTTTAAGTAAATAAAACTCAATTAGACATAAATAAAAGTAAAGATACATATGTGGATAAAAAAAAAAAAAAAAAAAAAAAAAAAAAAAAAAGAGCGTTTCTGATAACAGCATTATCACATTTATGTCTGTTAAATCTTAGAGACATTGAAAATTGCCCCTGTCATGATAAATTAGGAAGTAGTTCTTAAGGTAACATAATCAGTATTTTACCTGAAGTATAAATTTATTTGCGTTTCACAGTTAAAAATATAACTATTAACTTCTGTATCTCCAAGATATGCAAATGAAAGACAGTATAAAGTAGTTAATAAATGTGATAAAAAAATATACCTAAATCTAATAACTTCCCATATTCATATCTAAAATGAAATAATAACCTAACAAACAACATACATGACAGCACTATTTAAGAAAAAACATGAACTAGTAGTATTTGAAAGTATAAACAGCAGTAGGAAGGTAACAGAACTAAAATTTCTAATTAATAAAAAAATATTTGTGTTTTCTAAATCGTAAGCAATTAAAAGTGCAATAATTATGGCATTATGGTATTTACTAGGATTGCAGTATTACTAGCTGATGATTTTTAACACCATTTCTTTCGATCATATGTAAATGTATTTACCTATTTTTAGTTTCTACATTTTAGAATAGTGCTAGATTACAATGATCATTTCAAGCACTTTTTATAATCAATAACTTTTCTTTTGATACTCTACAGAATTAATTTAAATAACAAAGTATACGATAGTAAGCTAAGTACGTTAAAGTAAGCTCTTCGTTAAATAGCACACAGTGAAACATTTTGTTTCTATTTATTATGAATTTCTTTGTTATCACAAGCACATAAAATGTTAGTGAAGAAAGTACAGTCAAAAGTCGTTAATTCGGACACCCATAATTCGGAATGATCTATAATCCGGACCTCAAAACTAAAAACCTTCTGCGCATGCGCCGCGTTGACACATGCGCATAGGCGTTTACGGGTTTGCGTAAGACCTTTTACGACTGCGCATATGAGTGTGCGCAAGTGCAGAATACGTTTTCGCGTGCACGTTTTATGTATAATGGATGTATAAGCTAAAATTATCTAATTATCTATTTCAGTTAATGTTGATGATTGCGTTGTTCCTTAATTTTCGAACTGGATCCAGCTTATTATTTTTTGCAGACTGTAAGAGCAATTTTATAAAAGTAAGCTTAAACTTTCGATTATATCAAATAGAATTTCCGATATATATTTGTTAATATGTAAAGGATCTAAAGCGAAAGTATGTTTTGAAATCCGAAATCTGTTTATCAAGTTCACGCTGGCCGCGGCCACGTAATGAATTGGAAGTTGATCTGTCAGCACTATCCTTATCTTCAGCGCAGATGTTTTTATTTTATTTGGCTTATAATTCCTTACCAAATGTAGTATTTCATCTCGATATGCTCCGTCTTTGATATGATTTAAAACAAGTTCCTCGTTATTATAATTCGCTTCCGATAGCAAAGAAAGTGACAGAGGTTATTGAAAACGAAAAAATTTCGATTGACAAATTAGTCGGTGTTCTCGACA